AGCTGTATTCGATTGTCAACATTTCTATATTATATTTACCTTATGTTCCGTTGTCAGCTGTATTCGATTGTCAACATTTCTATATTATATTTACCTTATGTTCCGTTGTCAGCTGTATTCGATTGTCGACATTTCGATGTTCTATTTCCCTGATGCTCAGTTATCAACTATATTCAATTGTCGCCATTCCTTTATTCCCATTAACTGGTCGCTCAGTTGTCAGATGTACTCGATTGTCAACATTTCCATATTCTATTTACCTGATGCTCAGTTGTCAACTGTATTCAATTGTCGCCATTCCTTTATTCCCATTAACTGGTCGCTCAGTTGTCAGCTGAACTCGATTGTCAACATTTCCATATTCTATTTGCCTTATGTTCAGTTGTCAGCTGTATTCGATTGTCAACATTTCCATATTATATTTACCATATGTTCAGTTGTCAGCTGTATTCGATTGTCGACATTTCGATGTTCTATTTACCTGATGCTCAGTTGTCAGTTGGGCTCGATTGTCGCTATTCCTTTTTCAATTAACCGGTCGCTCAGTTGTCAGCTGTGCTCGATTGTCAACATTTCGATGTTCTATTTACCTGATGCTCAGTTGTCAGCTGTATTCGATTGTCGCTATTCCTTTATTCTATTAACCGGTCGCTCAGTTGTAAGCTGTACTCGATTGTCAACATTTCCATGTTCTATTTATCTGATGCTCAGTTGTCAACTGTATTCAATTGTCGCCATTCCTTTATTCCATTAACTGGTCGCTCAGTTGTCAGCTGTACTCGATTGTCAACATTTCCATGTTCTATTTATCTGATGCTCAGTTGTCAACTGTATTCAATTGTCGCCATTCCTTTATTCCATTAACTGGTCGCTCAGTTGTCAGCTGTACTCGATTGTCAATATTTCCATGTTCTATTTTTCTGATGCTAATTTGTCAACTGCACTTAATTATCAGAAGGTAAGATATGTCTTGCCTTACGCTCAGAGACCATTTGTAGAAAATGCATGTACGATTAGCTGAATCAGCAATTATCGTAAAACAAATGTTCTGTGTATTTTAAAAGCAAAACCATTAATTAAGTTACTGAAAACTTTCAAAATAGCAAATTATTTATCAGAGTAAACTTTATGCAAATTTATTATATTATACCCTTGTAACTTGACCAAATAATTAAAGGTTGAAATGTCTTTAAACACTGATTAGGCTAAACACTTAACAACTGGGTCCAGTTTTCAATAGTATAATTATCAACACTTACAAGACACTCAATTGTCAGGTTTGTGGTCAGCAATTGAATACTGTTATTCCGTCTTTGCGTATTGCAGAGTTATCTTCTCTTGGGAGCAGGTATTGATTGTTACGTCATTGGTTTGTGCGAGAAAATTACGTCGTTTTCTCAAAAATTGATGACGTTACTCTCACAAACAAGTGACGTAACAATCAATACCTGCTCCCAAGAGAAGATAACTCTGCAATACGCAAAGACGGAATAATGAAATTGTGTTTACTTTTGGCATGTCGGACTGATATTCAGAGCTCCAAGGTTGATACAGCGTCTGCTGTGGTGTATCTGTGAGCAAGATACTTTCCCCCGCTTGTTCCAGTCTACTCAGCTGTAAATGAGTACGTGGTTGTGCAGTGCTAGAGTTGTAGAATGCTTACTGTGAGCGCCGAAATGGCGGTACCGGCTGTATGTACCCCAAGGAGTTGAGAAAGATATTGGCTGGTTGCAAAGGCCCTATAACCACGGATAATAATTTGTGAATCGCTTTGAGACGACCTACGAACTAGTTTGTGATAAAGCAGTATATAAGAACCTCGAATTATTATTATTATTATTAATATACGCATGTCATAACACGTATATGTTGAAGAGTTGCAGGAAATGCTTGCGAACAGATAAAAAAAATTCCGAAAAAAGTCTATTTTATTAACTCATTAATGGTTTAAGTGTGGAAATGCACCGGTAATTTTGACGGACAAGTATAACAAACTTTCATTATTCAATCAATGAACCTTGTAAAAACAAAACAGCTGCAAATTGTCTAGCATGAAAAGTACACTGATCTTATGGAATGACTAATAATGTTTTCTGTATACTTTACAAGTCTTTTATTGATCCCGTAGTGTTTTGATAATCGAATATAGGGTATGAACAGGTACAAAGAGGTGGATGTTCATTTACCAAAACAAAGCCTGCGGGTTGTTTAGGTTCTTTATAGAAAACCGTTTTGGCTCTAGGAGATGACATTGGTTGGCATCCCTGTTATATCAACCTGACGATGGAAACTGTCCGACTTGTTTAGACAGACGACCGATAATAGACATTTTAAATAGCTTAGCATTGATTCTGTTAGCTTCCGAAATCCTGTAAATCCAGATTTGCATTGAATTGAGGAAAAAGGGTCGATTATTTTGATTTTCAACAAAATATAGTTTGCCTCGGGTTTGATGTCCTCGCAATAAGCCAGGGTCATAAGGACGCTTGCCTAGGGAAACAGAAACGGAAAGTAGAGAGAAAGGGAGGATAGGAAACGAGAAAGATCCCAAATATTGAAATAGGGGCAGCAGATCAATGTTGGTTACTTCCATGTCCCCTTTAATTTTAAAGGAATATTATTATCGTTTTTCTAGTAGTTATCCGACCTATTTCTTAATTTAACTTACGTTTCTAAAATAATGGATCGCGATTTTAAAAGGAAAATAATATTTTTTGTATCAATCAATCTGGATTTCGTTCAGGTCATTCGACAGTTAACCAGCTGAGTGCTTTTCATAACCATGATTCTGCATTTGACAGGAAAGAAAAATCGTGATTTATATTTCGCAATTTATCTAAGGCATTTGACGAAGCATGGCATGAAGAACTGTTATTAAAACGTTTCCAATATCGTATTGAGGATAATAACGTATGTCATCACACATCAATTAGAATGAATGTATATATTAACATTTATGTCATCATGCGTCAATTAGAATGAATATATATATCGACATTTAGGTCACCACGCATCAATTAGAATGAATGTATATCTACATTTATGTCATCATACGTCAATTAGAATGAATATATAAATTAACATTTATGTCAAAATACGTCAATTAGAATGAATGTATATATTAACATTTATGTCATCATACGTCAATTAGATAAATATATATCGACATTTAAGTCACCACGCATCAATTAGAATGAATGTATATCTACATTTATGTCATCACGCGTCAATTAGAATGAATATATATCTTAACATTTATGTCACCACGCGTCAATTAGAATGAATATATAAATTAACATTTATGTCATCATACATCAATTAGAATGAATGTATATATACATTTATGTCATCACGCGTCAATTAGAATGAATATATATCTTAACATTTATGTCATCATACGTCAATTAGATAAATATATATCGACATTTAAGTCACCACGCATCAATTAGCATGAATGTATATCTACATTTATCTCATCACGCGTCAATAAGAATGAATATATATCTTAACATTTATGTCATCATACGTCAATTAGAATGAATATATAAATTAACATTTATGTCATCATACATCAATTAGAATGAATGTATATCTACATTAATGTCACCTCGCGTCAATTAGAATGAATGTATATCTACATTTATGTCACCACGCGTCAATTAGAATGAATATGTATATTTACATTTATGTCATCACGCATCAATTAGAATGAATGTATATCTACATTTATGTCATCACGCGTCAATTAGAATGAATAAATATATTTACATTTATGTCATCATGCGTCAATTAGAATGAATATATATATACATTTATGTCATCACGCGTCAATTAGAATGAATGTATATCTACATTTATGTCATCACGCGTCAATAAGAATGAATATATATCTACATTTTTGTCATCACGCGTCAATTAGAATGAATGTATATCTACATTTATGTCACCACGCGTCAATTGGAATGAATGTATATCTACATTTATGTCATCACGCTTCAACTAGAATTTATGTAGATTTTACGCGTTATCTGTAGTTATTTGTGGGTGCTGTCTAGAGAGCTCCTTGTTTAATTAGTCAGAAATTGAATCCAGCTTTGTTCCTTAATGTCTTTTAATGAATAAAATATTAATCTGCAAACAATTGTCAATATTTATTTATTTACATATCCATCTCAAGCTTTGTTACAAATGCTTGTCATCAAAGTAAACAAAAAGAAATTCAAATATCCACAATATGTTGAACTAGAACTGACACCAGAAAGCCAGATTCATTCACCCAAGAATATGGCCATGGCAAACTGTTTTAAAGGGTTGAACTGAGTATTTCTTGTTCTTGCACCTCGTCATCACAAGGTGAACTTGCATACAAAATTTGGTTACTCCAGGTGAAATAGTTTACAATGCCGAAGATATGCCCGAGACAATTTTTTGTCTAAGGTTGAGGTTAAAAGTCAAATCATAGGACACAGTGACTCTGAGATTGAGGTAAAAGGTCAAATCATAGGTCACAGTGACAAGATTACAGCGGGGCGGAACAAAATACGCCCGTCGAATGCCATATAGTGTTATATACTTTCTTACATTGAAATAAGAGCTGCATCATTCTAAGTGTGGTTAGCTGATATGCTATAAAAAATGTAGGAGAAAATCTTCGGACAAAAAATCAAATACTGAAATAAACAAAGGGCAATAATTTTTGAAAAAATTGTCGAATCAAAATCTTTTAAGGGAGACACAACTTCATATCATGATTATAATGTATACCAAGTTTCAAAGAGATCGGTCGAAAAATGTAGGAGGAGATCTCCGGACAAAATTCAAATATTGAAATGAACAAAAGGCAATAACTTTTGGAAAAATTGTCGAATCAAAGTTCTTTTAAGGGAGACACAACTTCATATCATGATTATAATGTATACCAAGTTTCAAATAGATCGGTCGAAAAATGTAGGAGGCGAGACAAACAAAGTTTACGCCGGCCGGCCGGCCGGACAACGCCATACCATCATAATACTACCGTCAAATGTGACGGTCGTATAAAAATGAACAGATCAAAGTTTTAATCGCAAGTGCACAACTTCAGATCGTGTTGATTACATCAGTGAACTTTAAAGAAATTTTGCAGAAAATAGTAGGAGGAATTATGTGGACAAAATTGTGTCATCAGACAGGCGGACAGATAACGTATTCCTGTACGCCTTAGTAACCTCTGTGTAGGGGGTTTCATACATTTTTGAATTCAGTACTTCAAAGATATTCACTGTAGATGTGTTGACAAAATAATCTGGACAGAAGTAATTGAAAAGGCGCATAACTCTGAGAAACTTTTGAAATTTACTTGACATAATATTCTGGATGAGAAGTTATATAAAAGTGGCAAATCTCTTAGAAAGTTTGTCCAAATTAAACGACAGAAGAAAGAGCACCACGTCATTTAATAAAGAGTAGTTTGCTGAGTCAGAAAAATCACTTCAGTACTTTTTGAAATACACTTGACTCAATATTACATACAGGCGGCCAGACTGCCATCCTCGATACTCCAGGGGCTACGCTCACTTTTGCTCTCTACACACATGGAATAAGTCATAGCAAAATGGAAGCCTCAGTGCGCGCCACCTTACGGCTAATTAACATTGGAGACAACTCGGTTTAAGGAATGGAGAATAAAGTATTGCCAACAAGGGAATATTGTAGACAACTGATCCAGAGAGTATGGAGAATAAAGTATTGCCAACAAGGGAATATTGAAGACAACTAAAGGTCAAGTATAAAGATATAAATATCACTGATAGCTTAATATTGAAGACACCTGAGGGTCAAGTACAAGAAATGGAGAATACAAAAATCGCTGACAACTGAACACTGAAGACAACTGAGGTAAAGTATAAAGATATACATATCACTGATAGCTTAATATTGAAGACACCTGAGGGTCAAGTACAAGAAATGGAGAATAAAATATCACTGACAACTGAACACTGAAGACAACTGAGGTAAAGTATGGCTGACAACTGAACATTGTAGAAACTGAGTGTAAAATTAAGAGAATATTACAGTTAATCATACACATGTACTAATGTAAGAGTGATCTGTGTAGTTTTTGCATGTGTGATATTGTTAGCTATGCACAGGCCATATCCTGGATCATCCCATATCTTCCAAGTATGCACCAAATCTGCCTAGCATGCGATATATCCACTTGACATTGCCAAATCAATTGAACTTCTGGTTGAACACTTTTTCAGAAAAATCACACCTCAAACTGGTAGAGTACACACTGTTTATACATATGAATTTGCTATTTTGCCCAGTGTGTTTTATTTAAGGTAGAATGAGATCAAGTATTAAGCACATGAAGTATAAGTTTCCTGTGAGTTTTATGTGTTATTGCAAAACTGTTGATGTTACAGAGTAATATAGGATTAAAAGGTTACTGTATGACCATTTACATATCCTACTCCTTATCAGCCCTTGACCAATAGCAGCCCTCAAACCTGCGGCCCCTCAGGCTGATATGGGAGTGTCCGGGCTAATACGGAGTAGGATATGGAGAGGGTCATCTGATAACCTCTAAATATTCCAGGCAATATTTGTGTTTTTCTAAGTCTACATATCAGTTCTCCAAACTTACACTCCGAACGCTTCGTCTGTTCTCACTACACTAGTCAGTGATGGCTGATCAGGATGTGCACACCCTGTAAACCCAGATCTCAATTTTGCATAGAATTCCTGTATGTTCGCATCAGACGAACAAAATTGAGCCTGAAAATCAGAGAGATCAGAGTGTGCCTTGATGTCAGTAACATCTCTTTTCATAAACAATCGGAAATTCATGTACAGCCATATCATGACCACAGCAGAGGCACTATCCTTTCTTTTGAAGAGATGTAAAGGTAGAGTCTTTTTTAAAAGAACATCGTTTTTACAGTCGTATAAATACACAGAAATTTGACGAGGGGCACAACCAAAGGCTGGTATTGGCAGATCGGCAAGGCTATCATTTGTATTAACCTGCGCAAAGGCATTTGTGATGGTTTCAGCAATCAGCCGACTGGTAACAGATTTTTGTTTATCATGCACACACAATGTATTAGTGTCTTTCTTCATTTCTTCTGACCCCTCATCCTGGTCCTCTGTTGTATCTTCATCCATGCTGGGCTCCTCCATATCCGAAATAGTCACAGGGAGGTTTTCTTTCACAATCATATCTACAAAGCCATGCCAAGTAGAATAAACTCCTGTAGAAGAATATAAATAAAGTATTATCAAGGATCCATCCTGTTCCACTGTACTTTGGTTTATCATACAGTTACCTCTTTTCAATGGCAATCTTGTATGTTAATGTAATCTCATAATGTCATATGTTATTTCATAAGAAATGCATAATGATATCCAAAATGCTGAAAATTTATAATTCTTTCATATAAGAAGTGCTGTTAATGAGGTTTGAATTCTCATTAGGGCCAGGGATATTTTAACAAGGGGACCAAATATTTAAAATTATTCAAGAAACATCACTCCATTGTTTTTTTGGAGATAATTATAGAGTTTTAAAACAAAACTTAACTGTCAAAATCAAAGATGGCCACCTTTCAGCCATTTTATTTTTCCAATCAGTCTCAAAATTAAACATGCACTTGTAACCTACATATAAAGGGGAACCTACATATCAAATTTGAGAAAGATATTTTCAATACAATCTGTGAAATACACATTAAAAGTCTTAACTGTCAAAAAATATAAGATGGCCACCTGTGTTGGCCATTTTGTTTTTACACCCAGTACCCAAAGTTAATATGCACAACTAGGGACCAAGGGGAACTTACATATCAAGTTTGTGAAATATGTCTCTAGTATTTTCTAAGACATACTGATAACGAGAAATTGTTTAAGGACAGATGACGGATGGACTGATGGGCAGACCACGTACATGTACTACTGACTAAGGGCAATTTAAATACAAAAGATCTGTATAAAACTTCAGTTTGATCGACCAAAGACAAATCAAGTTATCAAATGGCAAACTTCATGTGGAGGATGAAACCAGCTGAAGACAATAGCAACAGAGTGACTCCTATATGTCGCATTGCAACGCAGGCGATACAGAGATAAAATTTCTGCACATTTTTTTAAAAATGGCAAAACTTGATTTTTTAACCAATTTTATGCAGAAATGTAACCTCGTCCTACACCTATATTTTCTTCTTTTTTTTCACATGGAGGCACACCCCCGACTCGGGATTACACTTATAAGAGGAGGGCATAGAATCTATGCCCCCTCACAACTGCAATTTTACTTGACATGTTACCAAAAAGCCAAAAGTCTGACGGCTGCAGTGATGCCCTCCGTATACACACAGGGACCAGGGCAGTCAGACAGATAGGCCCCTATTGTACACACAGGGGGCTGGGGTAGTCACACAGATAGGCCTCTATATTGTACATACAGGGGGCCGGGGCAGTCAGACAGATAGGCCCCTAGTGTACACACAGGCGGGCGGGGCAGTCAGACAAATAGGCCTCTATTGTACACACAGGGGGCTGGGGTAGTCACACAGATAGGCCTCTAGTGTACACACAGGGGGCCGTGGCAGTCAGACATATAGGCCCCTAGTACCGGGGCAGTCAGACAAATATGCCCCTTGTGTACACACAAGGGGCCGGGGCAGTCAGATAGATTAGGACCTTTTGTACACACAGGGGGCCAGGGCAGTCAGACAGATAGGCCTCTAGTGTACACACAGGGGGCCAGAGCAGTCAGACAGACAGGCAGTCAGACAGACAGGCCCTCAGTAATAGACAGTATACACACAGGGGCCAGTCAAACAAACAGATGAAGCAAAATTAGTACTCTGTTTTCTCTAAAAAGCGGATGATGAAAAAACTCCTACCAATTCCTGTATTTCCACTTTTTATCTCTTTCCCACATCCGCAGCTACATGTACAGTGTTCTTGTCTTGCAATGTGGTTATCTACAATGCAGTTTCCGTCGCTGAGTGGTCCAAACAGATGTGTGTTTAAAACCATAGTGGCACTGGCAGCGGATTCCTTGACATCATTGCTGCCGAATAGCACCTTCTCAAGACATTTTTGGTGATAGGCAAAATCTAAAAAGAAAAGAAACAAGAGGCCCATGGGCCTTAACGGTCACCTGAGTCTACAGTATTTTTTTTTTTTTGTTGAAATATGTACCAATTTGAGTAAAAAATAGTATAATGTTAACTTAACTTTGTCAGGACCATGAGCTGATCATTCCTAGACCAATTTTAAGTGAGATCGGCCTATTAGAATTAAGTAGCAAAATAGCGGCCATGGCAGCCAAATTGTATTTCTGATTGACCCGAAAAATAACAACACTTTGTCAGGACCATGAGGCGATCATTCCTACCAACTTTCAGTTCAATCGGCCCAGCAGAACTTGACTTTAAGTTTGAAATGTAAAATGTTAACGGACGACGGACGACGGACGACGACGGACGAAAACGGATAGCAATAGGTCACTTGAGCTAAAGCTCAGGTGACCTAAAAATCATAATATCAATCAAAGTGCCAAATAACTGAGGAGTCTTGCTATATAAAGATATTGTAGCTCCATTTAATATGTTTCTATTTTGTGTTACCATCTGGTACATTTTAATACGTTTGGGATAGAGAAGTTCCCCAGTCCAATCCAATAAATAACGATATTGACCAACCTACATTATTTTTAAATTTAACTGCAATGGTTACAAATTGGATAATTTCAAAGCCTTATGTTCAGCTCTGACCCCTTGGTATAGCCCCGCCCCCTTGGTATAGCCCCCTTTATAGTCTGCGTGCCCCAATTTGAACATACTGTAATTATCCCTGTAAGATCATGGTACATTGTGCAAATGAAATACAAAAGTTCTGGTACTCATAATTCTCTTGATGCAACAATATTTTACCCCAAGACACAGGGATTTATCAGCGGTTTTGGGAAATGGACCGCGGGATGAAATTGGGAAAAAATCATCAACAGAGAGTGAGAGATCATTTTTAAGAAAATTAAGATAACCACTATAACAGATTCATGTAAAATATGTCCAAAAACCCATTGTTGTTATGACCTCATAAATGTTGAAAAGATAAAGATCATTCCTTATATTTACATTGACGAATCCTTTCAGTGGATCGATATAAAAACGAATAAAACAAATAAACAGGGTTTGTTCCAGCTTATACACGGGTGCAACGCAGTGGCGAGAACAATGTTTTTTCGCGGGGAAATGTGACTCTATCGTGAGATATCTTAGCAACCGTCAACAACAAGAACACAACAAAATGTAGTTCCATATTCAATGTTTATTTGTAGCACAGCACACGTGAATACGTGGATATTTCACAAAGCCCAGTTCAATAATATTTTAAGATGTAAGAATTAAGCATCTAGGTCGGTCGTTCCGAGTGAGTAGTTTTTGTAGTGTATTACTACGCAGTGTCATCAGGTTACTATCAGTTCCCACGTGCTGAGATTCTATGAACACCTGTGTTATGCATTTATGAATGTAATTTTTGTCAATGGGTCTAAGCATACAGAATGTAAATATTACCCAATAGTCTATATAAATTAGAATTAGTAATTTTTCACTGTTTCTGACTTTTTGTCCAATTTCGGCTGTAGGGGGGGTGGAACAGTCAAAACTGTTTTTCTGGTCAAAGTGAACTGTTACTCGGCACGAATTTGATGCGCAGAAATCCCCCCTCGAAAGCCCCGTTCAAGCGTTTCGATGACCGCACCTCAGTGTTGTTTAGGCAGATGAAGCAATGCAATGGCGAGTCATCATTACATGTAGCATTGATACTGATATGTATTTGGTAATAAAACAATTGTTTCAATGTTATTTGGGGGACAGTCCAAACTACCATCCCTCGGTAGGGGGAAGCCCTATGGTACTGTTTGCCAGGGCTTCCCCCTACCTCGGGCTGATAGTTTCCACTGTTCCCCAAATAGCCATGAAACAATTGTATACTGTATAATAGAACTCAGTAAATTATGAGAGATTTATTTTTTTTAAAAATATGTTCATCTTTTTTTTTCGGTTTCCCTTCATACTGTGTGGTATGGATTACTGCATCGGCTTTAGTCCTGGACTAAAAGTAAGTTTTGTGCAAAACAAATCTCTCTCTCCACTTGAGACATCTGGAGCTACAACGTATATAGCTTGACAATGACATTTTTTTTAATGAATGTCATATTGCCACAGTCGAAGCAACTACATTAATGTAATATGTTTTAAACAAGGACATCTTGTACTTTGCATGCTTAACCATGTGTAACAGGAAAGAGAGAAGTGATTCCACTGGGGATCAAATCCGTGATCCAAGACTTCCTATAGTCGGACGCGCTACCTGACTGCATGAGCTTACGGGAAATTCCCTCTAGCGCAATTTAATGCTAGAAGGCTACCGTAATACTATGTACAATTAAAATCTGCCACACTACCTTTTTTTTAAATGTGTTTGCCCTTGCACACCACAACCCAGGTTGTAACTCCCTGTCACCCCAGGGAGGGCCAAGGACGCCATTTCTAACAAGAAAGAGAATAGTGTGATTCCGCTGGGGATCAAACCCGCAATCCCAGAGGCTCTACACCACTGAGCTAAAGGAATATTCCCTCTAGCGCGAAGCTAGAAGTGAACTGTAGTCTATGCACAATTGAATCAGCCACACATGCGTAAAAGATGTGCATTGATTAGGTTGCCTTACAAGCGTCAGATGTAGGGAATTTCCCTTCAGCTCAGCAGTTGCTAGAATCGGGCTGGAGAGCCATTAAGGCTTGCGGGGTCGCAGGTTCAAGTGCAACGTACAGCACTTTCTTTATCACTATTCCACGGCCTACTAAAAATTGGTGACGTTGACCCTCCCTGTTCGAGGAAGGAGAACCCTTGGCGAGGATTCAAAGAACCCGGGCTGGTGATTGAAAAAGGGGGGAATAGTGTAAAAGATGTGCATTGATTGGTTTCCTTACAAGCATCAGCTGCAGGAAATTTCCCTTTAGCTCATGCAGCGGTAGAGCATCGGGTTTGAGAGCCAAAGGTCGCTGGTTCAAGCCCCTGCGAGAGCACTTTCTTTATCTTTATTCCTCGTCCTACTACACAAGCATATACAGTCGAATCTCGTTATCTCGAAGTCGACGGGGTCGTGGGAAAACTTCGAGTTATCCGAGTATTCCAGTTATGCGGGTTCATAGATTTGGTATGATTTGCTGTTGGGACATAGCACTAGCAGTTGTTGGTTTTATTAATAGTTAATGCTTGTAATCAACTGATAAATGGTATACGTAATCAATATAACAAAAACAGCTATGTAATTTTACAATAAACACGCTTACAAAAATAGAGTAAGTTATTTCAGAAAAACGTACTTTCGTTTTTAAACGCGATCAAAACGGTTGGACCATTTTGTGAATTCGTTATTAAATATGGACAGGCCTAGTGATTAAATGTTGTTTTTGTCTGGTATAGATCTTGGCAAAGTCTTTCCAGGTCTGCATTTGTATTTGTAAGTCCGTCAAGTTTTACTTCGGAAGTGTTACATTTCAAACCGAACTATCCCGCTGTCTCTGATCTCGTAGTTTACAATGCGGAAATGAAAGTGCGCAAGTCTTAAACAAATCACTGTAATGGAGCGTACGCATAGTTGATTCTGTAAATGAAAACACACAAACAAATTATATCGTACATGTGACACATTGATTCATTAAAGCCAAATATGACACCTGACACCTCCTCAACTCGATGTAATCAACAGCAATTATCGTTTTGTTCTTAAATCTCTCGATCGACTTTCAAAGCCATACTGGCTCCTGTAAAAACATGAACCCGTAAAGCTGACCTAGGTTGTGATTTTAACTGTGGAACTCTTTTATGCATGACCACGCTTTGTGACCAATTTTCCGGTTTGCACTGTCGTCTGTTTAGGTGTACAAATCATTAAACAGACTCTCAGTAAGTACAGATTACTGTTGATCAACATTGATGCAGTTTGTTTTTTATTATGAATAACATGGTTTTGACAGTCCGTAAACTTTACAGTCCTAAGCTTTATCGTAAATTCTTTTTTACTGATTTCATGCTAGTCTACTTACGAAAGATGTTTATAAACACGGAATGGCGAAATGTCGTACTTTTGCGCTTTCTTTGTATCAAAGAATTAACAAGTGACAAAATGAAATTTGAATATTATGTTGGATTAACGCTATTGAAACCAATATTTTACTTCGAGGTATCCGAGTTTTTCGACTTTTCAGGGTTCGAATTATCAGAGTTTTATTTACTAAGATAAAGAAAAGATTTGGTCGGGACCGGAGAAATACTGCGAGATAAACGGGGTCTTCGAGTTAAAAGAGTTCGAGATAACGAGGTTACCCTTACCTACAAATTACGCATTGAATGCGTAATTCCACAGTATTTCCGCATATTCTCCGCATTCTGAATTCCACACTTTTTCCGCAAGTGCAGAGTATTCGAAATTCCACAAATACGTAAAAAATGCGTAAAAAATGGAAAACTGAAATTTACGCACTTGCGTAGAAAATGCGTAAAAAAAATCCACAAATTTTCCACATTGTAAATTCCACACTTTTTCCGCAAATGCAGAGTATTCGGAATTCCACAAATACGTAAAAAATGCGTAAAAAATGGAAAACTGAAATTTACGCACTTGCGTAGAAAATGCGTAAAAAAAATCCACAAATTTTCCACATTGTAAATTCCACACTTTTTCCGCAAATGCAGAGTATTCGGAATTCCACAAATACGTAAAAAATGCGTAAAAAATGGAAAACTGAAATTTACGCACTTGCGTAGAAAATGCGTAAAAAAAATCCACAAATTTTCCACATTGTAAATTCCACACTTTTTCCGCAAATGCAGAGTATTCGGAATTCCACAAATACGTAAAAAATGCGTAAAAAATGGAAAACTGAAATTTACGCACTTGCGTAGAAAATGCGTAAAAAAAAACCACAAATTTTCCACATTGTAAATTCCACACTTTTTCCGCAAATGCAGAGTATTCGGAATTCCACAAATACGTAAAAAATGCGTAAAAAATGGAAAACTGAAATTTACGCACTTGCGTAGAAAATGCGTAAAAAATGAAATACTGAAATTTACGCACTTGCGTAGAAAATGTGTAAAAAAATCCACAAATTTTCCACATTGTAAATTACACACTTTTTCCACAAATATGTAAAAAAATGTGTAAAAATTGAAAACCTTTTGTAGCGTAAAAAAAAATCCACATATTTTTCGATTTGTGGCCCAGTGAAATGGAAGAAAAAAAAATTCCTTGACATCTCGCCTCTGTTGCCTGTTTTTTGGAGTCTGAGATTTTCAAGATTAGTCACCAGGTAGGGTCAACAGAAGTAAAAAAAAAAACATTTGTAGGACTGCAGGACATTATGAGTGCATATTCTTTATATCCTTCTTTAATATTAATATTTGGCCAGGGTATTTTGCTCTTCTAATAGCAGATGGTAAGCTATTGCACAACATGGTCAAAACCCTCCCAAAGCACTGCTTTCTTTAGGTCACAGTACAAGAGTTTGGGAACACAACAATGCTTTTGTCTTAGACTGGAGTGATCGTGACAGCTGATACAGGGTTAAACAAGCTCCTGTAGGTACTTAGGAGCTGTTCCACGAACAGTGCCTTGTATGTGTACACCAATTTTTTGTACTATATTTCAAGGGAGGGATCCAATGCTGTTTCTTGTTTAGGTTAGGTTGGTTCCGTTTATCCCTTGCCTGGATACCACCAGGTATGCAGGGCGATTGAAGAATAGGAAAAAAAGAATTATATAAGTCAATTGCAACAAGTTCAGGATAAGTTGGGTTTTATGTATTTGGAAACATCTACCGGTTTCTCCAGAACAGTGAATTTTGACAAAATTTGTTCCCTTATTAGTACTAAAAATCAGGGGGAAACTTTGTATTTTTATCTGTGACATCATACAACCATTAATCATTTTACAGTTGGTGAATACATTGCTAGGTAACCAATGTATTCAACCACAGCAAAATGTTTAATTTTTAAACATGTAACATAAAGATAACCATGATGGACGAAGGGAAGGTGATACAATTTATATTGGAGTGACCGTTTACGGATAATCATGTGATATCTAATGTATGATCATCATGACATCACAGATAACAATGCATGCTCTCGGACAGCACTCAAGTAGTGGCTTAAAGTATAATTCGCTTGGTGATGGGTTCTAGATCTATGGACAGAAGGCTCATAAGCTCACGTGTAGAGCGCAGAAATGTTGGAATAAACTTTGGAGTATGTTCACTATGTTGGTAGCGAGGCCGCCACATCATGATTGGTAGACGCATCACAATAAGAGTATTCTTGTAATTAAAAATTTAAGTAGGGACAGTTAGGATTTATGTAAGGTAGTCAAAATCCACTTTGGCCACCATGTGTCTTGTTGTTTATGTTTTCTATTTCGTGTAATGAATATTTTGATATTTTTGTGTCTAATTTTCATTGTCACCAGTTGTCTATGTATACTTTATAATTTCAAATTTGTTACCACTGCAATCAGAAAGCGAAAGCCGCAATTTATGTTACCCTTCAGCTTGTAAACATGTAATTTGTGTTGGGTGACAATAGTGATGGTGCAACACACTGGTCACCTGGTGAAATTAATTACAATAGCCCCTAGACTTCACTCACTCTGCTTCAATTAAAAAAAAAATGAAATCTGACAACTTTGAAAAGCCTAAATTCAATACGACCAATAGTTGACACTACAACAATAAATTTATTTGAAGTCCTTGGTACTTTTTTTGGAAGATTTGTGGGGAGGGGGGCTTGGTAATATGATGATCAAGTGAAAATGAGCAGTGTTATTTTTTTTCTTCAAATAATCTGACAATGTTACTGGAAGTTGGAACTTATTGTAATTCACAGGCATTTATTATTATTATTATATTTTTTTTAATAAAAATAGTCCCTACACAAAAGATCACACCCTACTCTTACAAAAAATACATTGGTTCTTTTTTCAAGAGTAAGGGTGTGATTTTTTTTGTCAGGACTATTTTTATTGACAGAAACATTTGATTTAATGCCTGTGTTGTAATTCCACAAATTAAAATTTAAAGAGCAGGCAATAAGTTACAGGTTCAATATATTAAAATACAGAAAATAAAATCACAAACACATTTTTTATCTGATGGCTTGTTATTTGACTTTATTTGTAATGCAATATTTATGCTTGATCCATGAATAATAAATTGTAATTAAAGTATTTAAAATGAATCATTATATATATATGAACTCTGAATTTAAACCCAGGCAGTGCAATTGTACATTTGGGATTTTTTTTATCAAGCAGACTGTCAATTTGCTAATCTGAACTTTTCATATATACAAATGTTTCATATACAATACAAAATTTGGTAAATCAGTTTGTAGGAATAGTTACGTGAATTTATTTTATGAATTTGTAAAACGAATTGAACGTAGCAATTACGATCTGACGACCAACAACGAAAGCTGTGATCGAAAAATGCCCCTGTCTCCGTAAATTTGACTCTCATTGGGCTTTTATTTATCTGACATTGCTCTTACCATCACTAGGAAGGAGATAACGAATCCTCCGTTTGATGTAATGACCGGCAGACCTTCATCCACAGGGGTTCATTACAATTTAATACAAATGTCCAGAATACACATATGCTACACTGATATGGATCACAGCACACATAAACATACATATCAGTATAGCATATGTGTATTTCAAACATTTGCGATATGATGTGCAGATAACCGATCATGAGGTGACTTGAAGTTCGTGAACGCTGTCGGCTGTCAACACACAAATCCGATTTGTAAAAGAGCGCGAAAAGTTTGGTTGTCGTCAGGGTCAATAAGGCGTTTTGAAGGAAAGCCCTTTGATATGGTTAGAAACGTTTTAATGACCAAGATCCATAATATTTACTTCCGGTTGTAATCGGTGTTTTGAGAAGAGTTTGTGTGGGTTTTCAAGATACATTTGAGAAGACAATCGACACTCACCGGGATAAAAAGCCAGCGTACAGTGTATACAATTTTTAACAGCTGTACAATTCTTACCAAACGTTCCACGCCCTTCTTTCTGATAAGGTTTATATGATTGAAGAATCATGCCAGGACAAACCGCAAGGACTCACAATTAAAATTATATCATCATGATCATGATTGCACCATGGATGACAGTCTGGTAAGCGTTTTTGACTGACACAGCCCTTAAAAGAAAAAGGGTCAATCAGACATGATAATTTCAATTTCTCCTGGAACTCGACAAGGTTAACTAGATCGCGTTGGGTTACAAAACGAGCGAACGTCTTTATATTTTTAAACAAGAATTGTTTCCGTTCAGGAACAGAGGAACAATTTCCACATTGATTTTCGAATGACAATCTTTCTATATGTTACACTCCACAGATACCAAAATGGCTTGAATGCAAAATGTTTTCATTGATTTAATTAGGGGTGTGCAATAATATTGCAGCACTGATATATTAAAATATTTATCTAGCAGTACATATATCGCAATATCATTTTTAGATGGTAATAAGATTGTAACATCATTTTTAAATGTTTCAATTAATTGTTTGGGGGTTTTAGCAAAGTGATGTTATTGAATATTTTTATGTTAATTCCATAATTTGTCCTTTACATGCATCTCAAACTACATGTATCTCAAACCAGATGAACTACATATTTTTCAGAGAGAATGCAGTTATCCCAACAAAGTGGATGAAAGAACTTCTTGTATTCATGCATATGGACTTCAGTAAAGGCTGTAAAGATGTTTCAAGTTTTCCAAATGTAATCAAAAAGGATTGAGCATCTAATGCTGACTAATTAGGCCAGTATTGGTCTCGTACAACTGAAACATCACTTTTAGGTTGATATTATACTGTCACTTTCATGTCTATTGTTGTAATGTAATTATTAGGCTACTCTCTGAAAACAGAGTGACATGCAGATTTATCCCCAGGGTATAGGTTGTACTTAGTTACAATGCAGTTTAAATTTTAAAAAACATAGACCTTCTGACACCAGAATTAACATGATGTTGTGGTGTTTATTATGTAGTGTTTCCTTATTTTAGGAGGGATGGTGGAAGTCTAACCAATCTCACTGAACAAATGCTACATATACCATGATGTGTACAGTGTCAGATATTCTAGACTATTATAATTATACTGACCAAATTGGGCCTTTTAGGACTTTCACAACTAAATCATTTACTATATGTTATTACCAAACATTTTAGCTAATAACTTTAATATTTGAAGTTCAAAACAAGTGACAATTAACCTGAATTAGCCGGAACTTATTTTAGATTGGAACTACAAACATATGAAACACTTGCTGATTGAGTAATTTAGTTGTGCGAGTCCTTTTAAAAAGTCAATCAATGTCTTATACATTCATAAAAACATACCTTGCAAAGGCTACAAAATGACTTTTTGGTAGGTTTAGTGGCATATTGGAGTGTCACAGCGTCGGGAAGTTGACAACTGGATGTTTACAAGCAAACCCCGTGACCCAAAACAGAAACGCCCCCAGACATTTTGCCCTGTGCAAATCTGCATACAGACAGACATGGAAATATATCAAAAGTATATATTTTTCAAAAGTTAAATACCTGAACATTTCATTTATCTAAAAATCTGTCATCAGTTCCTTATTAAACTCCTTCAGTGGCCGAATGATTAGCCGGATTAACTACATAAACTTATAAACAAATTGACTGTATTTAACTAATTTATAAGATTAAACTGAAATTTAAGCTAAATCAAAGCTACAGTAACTTCCTCCTTCTGATTTTCAGAGCCTTTCACTGTAACGCCTTATAAATATTGAAGGGCAGAGAAGACTTTTTCAAATTCAAAGTTGACACAGTGCATGTTTGTGTACATGATGTGATGTGCATGGTCTATAGTGTAGTCATGTACTGTCTTATAGAAACGAACTTTAAATTTCTTACCTTTCAGATACGCCTCCAATAATCTGAATGCTGCAGCTTCGCACTCATGTTCACGTTTTATCCTTTTGGGGCAATTATCTTGGTCACTATCCTGTCTTCTCTTAATGTTTATAAGTTTATGTAGTTTCTCGACATCCCAAACATGCTTGAACTTAAACAGATTAGTTCGCTGACTCGGATAATCGTATAATGCGCTCAGATTTTCTTGGGTTATTACGACAGCTGCAGAGAATGGGTCACCTCCGATTGGATTGCAAAATACTATCCGTAATGTCATAGTTTCGATAGATTCGGCATTTTTTTCTAAAAGTTCTTGTAGTGCTTGCTCAGCGTCAATCTCCCCATCATTTGACGCCATATTGCTTCACTGAAACGAAACCGAAACGAATCCGCGATCGGCAAAGCTAAATCTAGGAACGAAATGGAAACGAAACGGAAAACGACCACAGTTATTTAATATCACTTTCAATCATGTCTCGGTAGGTCAAAAATGCAAGTTGTTAAAAGCTATAACATATATAAATGAGACAAATAAAAGGATTTTAAAAATATAATGAACCAATCCGTACATTTAACGAACCATCATTAGCTGCTTCAAGTTTAGCTGTGATTCCCTCCCTTTGCCCATTCCTTCAAAGAGAAGGAGAGAAAAAACTGTGACAATAGAAGTTTTTAATCCAGAAGTCGCCGGTTCAAGCCTAGTGCAGTGCGTCTTTCTTACGTTAACCAATTAAAAAATGCATTTAAGTTAAAATATGACTTTTTCTCTCACTTTAATTTATGTCTCGGGACAAACATATCGAATTTGCAGTTTTCAAAATTGCATTTGAAAAAATTGAATATTCTGGTAATTTCAATTCATTTCTTAATTCCCGTTTCACATTTTAAAATGAAGGAGGGAAACCAAATAGATAGATCTTACTGTATCACAACACCACATCATTTTTATGGACAATTTTAAAATCCTAATTCAACGTAATTCATATATTTTACCTATTATATAACGCCATCATATGAAACATATTTTTTCCATGTAAACAATCGTGTGTATGGGTCAAAGCAGAGACATCCCTGGTCAGGGTGACGTGTTAATTTGTTTTATCACGAAGATATATTTCTCCCTCAATCATTATAGGTTTCCTCACTCCCGATTCATTAGATAAACCTGCTCGGAGTTGGTAATTATTTTTCGTTACCCACTAGAGGTAACACCATGAACGTGATTTCATTGGTCAATTTTTACTTATGACGTCACGTACATGTAACAATGCTTTGCGTCGTCATTTGACATTGTGACGTCATGATTCACGGCAATTGTTCCCCCCATCGGAAGCCTACATAGTGTATTTTCAAAAAGAATCATATGGCTTGCCAGACAAAATAAGAACGTTATGGGTAAAACAAGATCCCAAACCCGTGATGGTAGGTTATTTATCATGTTTAGCAAACTCTCGTTAGTTAATTTTAATATTGTAAAAGACACTCGGTAAACCTCGTGTCTTTATACAATTTGAAAATTAACTTACTGGAGTAAGATAAACATGATAACCAACCATCACTCGTTGAGGAACTTCTATATATCAGGTAAAATTAGTATAACACTAACGTGGTGCACAACAATTTATTGATATTTCTTAAAGTTATATCATAAATATTTTGAAAAGATTACCTCTTGTTAATCTTCTTTTTAGTCCTTTTTTCTTTCCCCATCCTCTCTTTTTTGGTATAATGACGGTTCTCAGTGCGTGTGCATTTTGACTATTTTTTACATTACATTGCTGTTTTTATGTGCTACTTGTAAATGTAAATGTCATATAATGTTTTTCCATGTTGTGGTATTCCGTCTTTGCGTATTGCAGAGTTATCTTCTCTTGTGAGCTGGTATTGATTGTTACGTCATTGGTTTGTGTGAGAAAATTACGTCGTTTTCTCAAAAATTGATGACGTTACTCTCACAAACAAGTGACGTAACAATCAATACCTGCTCCCAAGAGAAGATTACTCTGCAATACGCAAAGACGGAATTGTAATGTTGGCCAAATGTGGACCCTCAATCAATGTTCTGGTTGGTAAATAGAAGTGGATGTACAATCAATGTGATTCGACCATTTTGTCGATATAACCACGGGCTTAACTAATTTGCAAATAGTGTCGCGTTATTCCCGTGAGGGGACCTTGTATTATATTATTGCTATTTTCGTAAGTGTCGGTTGATCAACACACACGTTAGCTAATTGTTATAGTAATAATGAATAAAAACGTCGTTTATTTTGTCATGTGCCAATGACGTGTTTACACACAAAAAAATGGAATAAGATTAATTATTCAAACCCAAGGGATACAATATTGTTTAAACATATTTTATTGCCAAAAAATGCAAGAGGATTGGGCACAAGTTAAATGAACATACAATATTGAGCAGGATACAGAGGCTTTGCCGAGGATATTTTGCTCAATATTTTATCCCGAGGGTTTGAATAACCTTATCCTTACCTCATATCAGGGATGGATTATATTTCTTGCTTATTACTTAAAACCCATAAAAACAGCTGCGCTTCTAGTTGTAACCTGTCCGCACATTTCTCGTTTGCATATGAAGCCCGGATGGCAATTGTTAGTGACGTCAATGACCCTGACTGACCCCAAAACGTCATAATATGACGTCACGAACAATAGCGTGAACCCGAAAGGTCACTATAATTCCCAAGACAGTCTGCGCGTATAAGCAATCTAGACCCGTTGGTCGGATAGAATTTTCCATCACCGCCGGAAATGCGGATATCTCGGTCTAGTATTTAAGAATAATAGAATCCATACCTCACAACAGGGATAGATTCTATAAGTCTTACCCTAGGGTATAGACGGAAAATTTCCCCTGCCATAGCATTTGTATGACGTCACGTTAACAATGCATTGACGTCGTGTCTACAATGCAAAAACGTCACGTCAACCATAGCAGCTCACAGAAGAAAACTCCAATTTGCAGGAAATTATGAAACCAACGTTTTAAATTTCATGAAAGTATCACTTCTGTTTGATTTGGGAGAAAATTATCATTTCCCACGTAACAATCTCAACCCTCGGAGTAAGATTCTAAAATGTCTTGCCCTCGGTAAAGCCTCGCACTACATATTTAAGAATCTTACCCCTTGGGTTGAGATTTTCCTGTCCTTCCCCCAGAGCGTAGACAAAATATTATTATTCTATAAAAGTTCATTTGTCATTAGTATACCTCTACTTATTTTACACTATACAAAAGTAACCACATAAACAAGCTATTTCCCCTCTAACTGCATGCCAGGGAAATAGTTCGTCTGGAGGTGTGCAATAGTTTTGAAACTATTTCCCTCGGAAAATGCGGGAAATTGAGTGACGTGGTGGGCGGGGCCTGACCGAATATTGACCAATCAGCGCAATCGAATTATGTCGGCAATTTCCGGCAAATTCAGAATTCGCATTTATGTTAATGCTAATTTTCAAGCAAAATCTGTGATTAATTCTTTATTGTACAAGTGATATCCTTTATTTCATATTATTGCAAATACTGTTTTTTTCTGAAGTTGATTCTCAAGAAAATTTTAGTTTTGTTAATAAAGTGTCCCAACTGTTAATAATTTGTTGTCTAATAATATTTAGAATATTGTAAGGGAGTGTTTGTATCGGTATAATAAAACAGTTGAAGCATGGGTATTTCGGGATATAGCAAGTTTATGATCCCCCTTGTCCAGGACTATTTCCCTCGGCTTCGCCTCGGAAAATAGTCCTGGCCTCGGGGGATCATAAACTTGCTATATCCCTCATATCCATACTTTAACTGTTAATTAACTCGATGTTTTCCCACCTTCACACTGACTTGATTACAACAATCACCTGTTGTTTATAAAGTTTAGTTGTCAGTTACTCAGTATTTGACGCCCGATTTTATCAAATACTAAAGTACAACCTTCAAGACATATTAACTTAAATTCTTACTTCAATTGTTTCCCAGAATCACAAATTCTAAGTTAATTTCGTCACCTCGTTGATGTCTCTGTGTTTGGCTCCAGGAGATCTTGCATATTTTGTTGGCAGTAATAACTAAAATAGTGTAGCCTCAAAAGTAAGCACAATGTGTTATAATTAAATGCAAATACACGTAGGCTCCTTAAAACTGTTACAGTGCATCGAGTTCACTCTATCACATGGGGCACGTGCACTATGTCACGTGCATAATGTCGTCGTCGATTCTCTAATAATTACTTACAATTTGTTATGCCGCAATGTTGTTGTAATTGTATAACAATATTATATAATATAGTTTGAGATAATTTGAGAGAGATCGTTCTGGAAGTACCGACTATTCGCGGGAAGGCAAGTGTTTCGTGTTTGTATGGGAAAACCAACGGAAGTGCGTTTTGGAAGAAAATCGACTCCACCTAACTTTCCTACATCAAAAATCACATTTCTATTTGTTGTACGAAAAATGCTTAGGCAGAAGGAGAATACATTTTACGTGCATATAGGAGGTCTGTGAAAGAAAACTTGTCCATCTTTCCAACGGTACCAAGCATTTTTCGTACAACAAATAAAAATGTGATTTTTCATGTAGGAAAGTTAGGTGGGGGTCGATTTTTCGACATCGAGAGCTTTCCGCCCTTGTCGTATATTATTATCATTGGGGGTGGCAGTTTTACCGAAAATTGATCGAAACCTCCCAAACGTGTAAAATTACTTTGAACACCTTAGTTTAGGTCCAAATATATATAGCTGTAACAATTCATCAGGTCCCTGTGATTGAACGACTGGAAACAAATTGCTTTTTCCGGAAATGTTGAACTAACTCATCGTCTCCCCTGTCGATGGGCAGAAGGAAAATAAAGACGAAAAAAATAAAATGAAAAACATATAACGATTGGCAAGTTAACAGATCCTAAGTCGATCTATGAGTGGTAAGTGATAATGATACACTCGGACGGTCGTGTAGTCTTAATAGAAGTTTTGATGACATTCCATTGCTAATCCGTCTCATATTCGTCCATTCGTATGTCTATTGATAACATTAACATTTCAGGTTTTTTCTACATGTACGGTGTATGCCCAGACTCAATCTATTATACAGCAACTGCTTGTGCAACGGAAAAAACATTTTATGACAACAGAACATGGCGTAAGATACATGTTCGAGGTGGATGTTTAGTCCCCGAGGTTTGCTGTCACTTTGTTGCCCAAAGTTAATCTTTTCAGCAGTGACATTGTTCATAATACACATTCTTTACAAAATATTTGATTTTAAAGTAAACAGTATTCAGATCGAGAAATGCCGCTGTTCCAAGTAGAAGAGCCGAGCCTATAGAGTCCTTGTTTGCAAGCTCAGGAGGATAGAAGCGATAACCATGGTCAACACATTTCTTGTTACAAACAGCACATCCTCGATGTATCTGAATGTGGCATTGACGGATTTGGCTAGATTTATGTTACCAGTCCTGATAAGCCCATCAAATAAATTCAGCCGCACATGATAACAAAAACAACTCGGCCAAAAGAAGGGCACAGTGTGTTTCTGCAGGAATACTTATACAATTGACGAAAGTACTACTTTACTTGCATCAGTGATGCTGATTATGATAGAGTTAAAACTGGGTTTTTGTGTGTGTTTCTCTGCATGGTTGATATAGAGATAATCAGCGATTGTTTTTTTTATTGTTCTCACCGCTTAATGCAACAAAAGCTCTCCGGGAACCTATAGCGTCTTTGCGTATTGCAGAGTTATCTTCTCTTGGGAGCAGGTATTGATTATTACGTCATTGGTTTGTATGAGAAAATTACGTCGTTTTCTCAAAAATTGATGACGTAACTCTCACAAACAAATGACGTACCAATCAATACCTGCTCCCAAGAGAAGATAACTCTGCAATATGCAAAGACGGATTTACTAGTCTAATACAGAACACTTCGATCAATTATACAGTCTACACTGTATTATTGCTGCAATCGATGTAAAGGGTTTCAAAGCATCATTATCTGAACGTGTTTGTACGCGATAATTGTATTGACGTTAACGAATATCTTTGTGCTTTGATTTGTCTTCATACTATTACCATGAATGCCTCTACCTCTTGGCGTGGCAAAGGAGACAGCAGACTTATTCGAAATCTCGCAAAATAAATTTTCAATTCCTGTTTGTGTTCAAAACAAACGTAGCCTTTATTAGACTTAATAAGAGTTTACAAAACATATGCGTACAATGTGAAAACAATCGGGTCATAATTTGCCAGATTACGCCAATATCGCATTTTAAATATTTTCACGAACAAACAAGAGAACGACATATTAAGGCACGGGATGATGGTGCCACTTTGTGATAGACTTAGACACGACAGTTACAAAAATGTAAATGCACGCTACATTTTTTTTTTATACATTTTGCTTATTATATGAAAATACTGATATTAATATCTTTCGTGTTAATTAACCGTTTTTATGGCAAGATGAACTGTAAATTGCAATTTTAAGTCGATAATGCGTCAATATTGTACTAGCGAAATATTTTTCTTTTCTAATTGATCATGGGAATATCGTTTGGATAAATAAATAAACAGATATAAAATACGAAGTTAGAACACAGCGATTGAGACTTAGTCAGTCCTGGATAGCTCACTTGCCTTTCACCAAGGCGGCCTGGGTTCGATTCGGGATTCGACGTAAAAAGTATGGGGTCACTTGCCGGACACGTGGGTTTTCTCCGGGTACTCCGGTTTTCTGCCACATTAACACCTCCTCGCGCTGACATCCGGGCCAACAAGAGTGAATAGTATAAGCTGCAAAAACGTGTTTCATAATTTTTGTAAAATAAATAAAGCTTATATTTATATGAACATATTTCCAAGCTGCTGAGGCTTATTTAACATATCATGTCTAAAGGGTTCGAAATTATTCCCAGATAAATAACGAAAAGTACGGATGCCTGTTGATTAATTTATTACTTTACAAATGAATTTTTATTGCCGCAACAGAAAAATGAAAAAAAAAAAATAATGTTACAAAATTGATAAATAATGAACAATCTTCATTATAGTTATTCCAGCATTGATTAAAATATTTATACAAAAATCAAAAGCGATTATGCAATTTTCAAAATTTAATTGTAACGGTCGTTGAAAACATACAATTTTAAGAAAATTAGAACTGATTTTTGCTCGTTTTTCTTCTTTACCCTACAACTAGCACAATCCTGATATGCAAACAATATACATACAAAAAGTGTAACTCAGAGTAGACTTATATTTCTCGATAAACTAGTGAAAGTGAATTAATGTACATCTGTAACAAGATCGGAAAATCACGAAAACGTTTCAGTTGAATATCCGGTTTATACCACAATTCATATATTGAAGTTTTTAATCTTTTTATCAAATGTATTTTAACTTCTTAAAGTGGGAAATAATTCGATTTGATTAAGATGTGATAATACCAGTGCCACGTTAAATTTTGTGACGTCACGATGCATTCTGTTACTATTTTCATCATTATTTTAGATTGAACTATCTTAGTATTAAAAAATTAACAATCTGCAACATACGTTTCATTTCATCTGTAAACGTGTGCGTGTTTTTCAAATTCAAGAACTGATTTGGGCAACAATGTACAATCATAATCTACTCGAATATTTGGAACACATTATAAAACATTTTCTAAACTGATACTAATTTGATGATAGAAAAATATCAAAAATTACTGCAACAACAAAAAAAATGACGTCAACATCAAGCCTATGGTAGTTTGTACTTAAATTTTGTCATAATTTACACAACTAAAACATTGCAAGAAACACGTGGGAAAATATTGAAAAAACAAATCATTATATACATGTATCTACTTGTTAGCATAATATTTCAAGTTACGATGTAAACCCTTAAATAACCATACGGAATCAAAATTTCGATAAAATAATAGAAAGATAAAAAAAACTTTGAACGATGTTCAGGACTTTCCCTCGCACTATTCGAGACTGAACTTGTTGTGGACTGTAATTCAACGTTTGACAAAAATTCCCGGATTTTCTGCAATTGATGTTTGTCACATAGAAGGATGGACACTACAAACAATACGACATACATTGTTCCTATTGTACCCGGTAAAACTGTTAAACAAAAGACAATACATAAAACTCAAGACTTACTCTTGAAAAAGCCATCAACAAATACACTATCCGTTATCACAATATTTGCCACCAAGAAAAACCAGAAACAGAAGAAGTCAATCGCTGACGTCACATCCGGCCAAGTCAACTCCAGTTCTACGAACGGTTTCACAGGCGAAAGCTTTGCTTGGTCTTCCAACGGGGATTTTCCCATTTTTCCTTTGCCATTCGAAACGGTAGCCTCAATTTTACTCAGGTCCTGAACTTTCTTATTCGACTTGTGGCACCGCAACGCTTTGCTTAAGCGAACGATCATTTTTGCTAACATGGGTACTTCAGTATCACGATAGTGAAGTCGAAGCTCCAAAGTAGTGATCATGACAATTGCAGTGCCCAAAGACAGGAGTAATATAAGATACAAACTTAATAGCGACATCGAAGAACTAACTGGAAGTGACGCACTTACAATTGTTAGAAAGACAGCGAACGCCAAATATAACGTCATGATATAGCCCATCTTCTCACCACTATCAACAGGTAAGGCAAAAACGAACACAGACAGCAGTGACAACATTATGATGGGAAGCACGACATTGTAAAGAATGTACTGAGGTTTCCTCTTTACCGTGATAGAGAATGTAACAATAGCTCCCTCCTGCTGTGATTCTGAAGATTTGGCAGACGTTGTTAGGAGATCCCATTCGCCATTGGTCTGATACTCATCAAGTAAGATACCTTTACTCCCTAGCTCGACGTCAACGTCACTCAGCGGGCTAGTCCAAACACCAAATTTGATGTCGCATGTTTGTTTGTCAAAAGGGAAATATTGTATATTAATCGAACATTTCGTCTCAAACACCTCGTACGGACGCCAATTGACTAGGCCTTCGGCATATATTGTAGTCAGTAAAAAGTCATCCCCAAGCTCCTTCAGTTTTGTAAAACCATTTTCCAAAGCAATATCCGGTTTCCATATATTTTTCTGTGGTACGTATATGACCTCAGTATCGTTATCAGCAGACGGGTCCCAATTGATGTAGTCGTTTATCCAATATAGCTCCAAGAATGCCGTGGAAGACATTTTTTCTTGAACCTCGTCGATGTCGGTTATTCCAACTAGATTCAAATTCACGTACATAACAGTAGGAAGTGACTGGTCTGCAGAAGGACGAACCATCTTGTTGTACGAGTTGGTTGTGAAGATGTTTGTGAGCAGGGCCTTTACATCATCATGTGTGTTCGATGTGACAGGACAAAACAAAATGGCCACCACACCAAGCAGCAATACAAGGGAAATAGTCCTCATTGTTATCACCTATTCTTCAGTTATGTAAAAGATGCTTCACAAAAGGTACCTTACAAATTCACGCGTCTCACTTCCTTTACATGTACAGTCACTTCAAATCGGGAGTGTACGAACAATTATCTCCACTAGACTCCATAAACACAAACATGAACCGTCAATCAATAGCAATTCATAACTTCCAGCGATATATTGCCTCCTTGAATAAAACAGACACTTGCTTAATCAATGTACTAAGCTTTTTGCTAGATTTATCACAAAAAGGTCTACAATTATACGAGATACAGCAGTAGTAATTTAACAAATCGTTGCATCATCTGGAAAAACGGTCTACCTGGCGTATTTTCCGTAACGAAATCTAATATCTGAAATCGAGTTAACCATCCACGTTCTCGGTATAACGTCTCAAATATGTTAAATATACTGCGTTAATGTATCCAGTTATCGAGTAGCACAAGAACGGGACTGAGTTTTAAAACCACGGCTTGAATGGATGTCCTACAAAATGTATATATACTTAGCCCGATAAATGTAGAGCTAGTAATTCAATCCAACCTCTAATTGCCTGTGTTATTTCAGATCTTTTTACAGTAATGATTTGAAGAGGCTATATGTTTATTCACAGCGCTCCTTACTGATGGTTCGATATATAAAAGACACTCAAAAATAAACAGTGTGATGAATAAGATAATCATTATGTTATTATTCCCATTGTTCCGTTACACTAGCTAACAAAACAACTTAGGTTTTAAATACGTCTTGATTCAAATAGGTACCCGCCTGGTACGTGTCACTTGGCTGGTGTGTGAACAGCAATTTCACTTTATTAGTGTATTTGGTAATTATACCGCCTACTTGTAAAACTCTAAAGTGAAAACAGTGTAATTGTTTGTTGTTGAATATCCAGATTGTATTCTCTTAGTCGTATACAGAAGATTCCCAAGTCACACTGTTAATACACCAAGACATCAGGACGCTTAAGTTGACAATCCAATATGTAAGATATATGGGTATCTGTTCACTGAATAGTTCTGTACGTCACCAGCTGAAAAACCCGTTAATTCCTTGTTGATATTGGCTAGAACTAGTATGTAGCCGCTGTATGCGATACCTGCTTTCACTACTATAACGACCAGGCTATAGTATCATTGACTCAGAGGCACCTCTATATAGATTGGAAACGCATACACAATTGAATATCGGACATTAGTTTACTCCTTTGATATTGCTAAATTAGTACTGAATAATTAATATTTACCAGATGTTTTGATCAATTGTTATAATTAAAAAAATAATATTGAAAGAACGCTTACCTTTTATTTACATTGCCAGACATTCATATTATTTCTTTTCATTTCACAACTTAAATAATTATCCAGAGAATATACAATCAAATAATTCTTGTAAAGCTTTTCTAACATTAATGATACTGACTTGCAAACTCATTGCCAGTCGTCTTGCCTAATGTGGTCTACAAGAAAATGCCACTTTAATATTCTTATTGATTCGTTCATGTTTTACAAATGTAATATCCTTAATTTATATTCCAATACTCTAATACTCTTTAGATCACACATGTCCCTATCTGTAAATACCTCTTTGAATTGAAATAAGATACTGAGAACTGTATTTGAAAAATGATGGCCTAACGGCATGCAACCTGTGACCTTTCTAAGCAATGAACACCTTTAGCATACCCGAATATTAAGATCGCTTGTGTGATTAATGAAGAAGGCATAAATACGAATCAATATCAAAATAGGTAGGAGTGGCGCAGTGGATAACGTACTCGCCTTTCACCAAGGCGACCGAGGTTTGTTTTCCCGATTGGACGTGAAACGGCATGGAGTCACCTACCCGACTGTGTAATTAAGTTGAAATTACTTATTTCCTAAATGCTGTTAAATAAATAACGTTTATATTTTTGTTAATATCAAATGTATTGTATTGACTCATTGTTCATTAAAACTTAACATAAAAAAAAAGATACCGATTTGCTTTATTGAATGCAACCGAGAGAAACGAAGGAAATAAAACTGAGCAAACAGCTGGACACGAACAAGGTAAAAAAAAGCTACTTTTACCCGTTTATAACATAAAACGTATTCAATATGACAATAAAAAACTATTTTCCTGTAGAATATCTGTACCTAGCACTTGTTGTGTGGTCAGAAAATATGATGTGAGTAATTAAGTAGAAAAATGGTTACTTCAAAGGGTTCAGATGCAAAACTGTTTATCTATAACCATCCATAAACGTAACAACAAAACACACGAAACATATTTGTTGTTGTTGTTGTTGTTGTTGTATTGTTGTTGTCTTTGGTTAATCGATTATGCATGTCTCGATTCATTAACATCAGCAGGACTACATGCCAAAAGTTAACATGCTGAAATCACAGAAGTGTGTTGTAAATTTTATCTATAGTATAATGTATAAAAAAAATGTAATGCACTTGATAAGTGTTATATAGTATATAAGATAATATGATAGTCATATTATTAATGGTTATTCAAAAAGATTGTGTTGTTTTAAGTTGTTTTTTATACTTTTAATTTCGTACATGTGCATGTGTTAAACGAAAGTACAGGATAAGGCTGTATGAATATATGTATTCTATGTATTCTCTAAGAGCCTGTAAATTGAATATACTTCAAAAACCCCAAGCTTACTAAGGCGAGTTTGATTATTTTCAAATGATAAATATCAAAAGACAGATACTACTCCACTCCCATAATATATCAATACATATATAGAACTATCTAAAATAGTTATATTTAATTGAACTCAAAATAAGGTGAGGTTGACATTATATGTTTAAGTCTATGACCGTTGATTGTAGGGCCACAATATATGGCGAGTCCACCTATAGAAGCCCTAGAAGGCCTAGCGGTCGGGCGTGGATATTTATTATTTTATTCTATATATACATATACATCTCACTATGACCGTTGATTAAATGGCTACATATACCACCATTTTGGTCTACAAATAAATTACTTTCAGTCAAGCAACAATGATTCATTTATGAAATGATAGCAGACTATAATCCCCCGGAATACATACATGGCACAAATGGAAAAGACTCAAGGGAAGAGTACACATATCGATTACGGTTATTTGATGCGAAGCAATCGACACTATGTGTTGCTTGAGCGCCCCCTTTAAATCTGGTTTCTCCAGTTGACTTAATGTATTGGTCTATGATGTATGTACACAATGCAATTAAGGTCTCTTGTATGTATTAATGGAGATCCCCGACGCCATCATTGCAGTAACGTTATTCGTACTCGAACATATTCAAACCTCATTGCACTTCTATAATGGATGTAAACTTTCATCACACCCCAAGCAAATAACTTTTATACAACTCTATTTATGATTTGATACGCACCGAAAATGTGTTTGAAATTGAGTAATAGAACATTCTTTGTATACATGTATGCTGGTTTCATCAACTGCGATGCCTTTGGCGAAGTAGTTTATTTATCGTATTTTTGTACATAATGATATTCAGTAAAATATTTCGTTTAAAATATATATCATAAACATGAAAACCTCCTTTAGAGATACTTAATCAAAGTTAACAAAACTGTTCAACTTACAAAATATTCTCTAAAATGCCCTAACGTGCATCAAGGGGAATGTTTATAAGCAATTTGATTCGATACCATTGTGTTAATTAATTGCACTTCAATCTTCAATTAAATGCCAGCTTATTGGAGGATCAATAACACCTTCAATACCAAACAATGGTTCAATTGCCTTTCTTTCTTAATGATGATAGAAGGGACATATATCGTCGCTATGTAGGTTTTCGCTTTTTAGATCTAGACCACTATATAATTTACTTCAATATGTATTGTGAGCATTAGATATTGCTAGTTTTGCCTTTACCAACTTTAAGTAAAATAAATAGGGGGACGACGTTAGCTCTGTAAATAATAATTACCATCGGACATTATATAAGTACAAAGTACTTGTTTCCGAATCGTTGTTGAATATATATTGAAAATGTAATGTATTGTATATTACCAGAAATAAATACGGTTTAAACTTATTACCAGAAATGTGATAAAAAGAAGCAGATAACTAAACCAAGTAACTCCTTTACTGCACCACATAGCCATATCAGTATCAGCAGTGGTCCTTACATATGTATACAAACAAGATAAGGGGACAATTTACTGATACAAAGTAGTTTATTCAGGTATTTCCTTTGTACTTAGTTCGATTACCGTAAAACAAATTAAGTAAGGGTATAACGTTTTGTGTATTTGTGTATGTGGTACCTTATCCATTGACACTGTGATGAAAACTGACAAGTTACAGGGTTGAGATAGTTAGTAAGATTACCACTGACAACGACAGGATAAGTTGTCTTATATAACACAATAAAAGCGCATGGTCCCACGTTCTGTCAGCATTGGCTTTCAGAAAATATTAAAGTACGATTAAACCGTTTCAGATGTCGTTTTATATCTACAGTAAAACCCCACTTCCTAGAACTCTATTTACTCGAATTCCCCTCATTCGTCGAACAGTTCGTTTGATTCCGACCGGGTTCGTACATATTCTTTGTAAAGTAACCCCAGATTATCTAATTAGTCGAACCGTTATCCTCAAAAAACCCGTATTCCTCGGACAAAAAAATGTCCCGACTCTTCATAGTCATAGCGTGTATGCTATGTATTCGTCGAACATGTGTAACCTGTCACGTCTGACATATATGTTACATGTATTACACCGACAATGCCATCGACATGTCTCGCGGCACAGGCTGCAGTCCGGATCCACGCTCATTGTTCTTGTGCGTATACAGGTATCGACTGGACGTCAGATAATTAGAGGATTATATAATTAATACCAGTGTCCTTTAGTAACTGTACCGTTTCCCTGTTGTCTCTGCATTACTATTTTGTGTGCATATTTATTTTTCAAGGCGATATTTTGTATGTTATTAGCCCATATTTATGCATTTTAAGAAGATAAACATCACAAT